ATAGATATTATTGAGGAAATAATGTATTTTAAATAATGATATGATGAGAAATATATAGTTAAAAAGTAAGAAAAAGTTATTGATGTGATGAAAAATATTATTTTATTGGAAGATGTCTGGTTGAAAATGAGGTTTGAAGGAATGTATTTTAAAAGAATGTATATCAAACTTCGCTGAATTTACTTCAACTTTTCTTTATTTAATTCTCTATTGGGTCTTCAGTGAATTGATTATTTTGTGAACCACATGAGTCAAATTACTGTCTTGTTTTGGGAAGATTGTGATGTTGAATGACCTAAACTCAAATTATTTGGAGAAGTAAAAACTTATTTGGTAACAAGTTTGAACAGGACGTGCTTAATAAGATTTCATTCTTGAATAACTATAGATTTTATAACTGTCTTGATAGGGAAAGATAATCTGTGAGCTAGGAAGAGCAGATGGAATATTAAGAAGGAAACATCAACTTCAGTGGCAGGAACTAAGCATTGGCTTGAACTTCATATACAGATGAGCACAATACAGTTAAAAGCCCTGAAGAAAAGCATAGGATGCTTATAGTTGTACATTTGTTGTGTTGCAACCATTTTTTCCATAAGCGAAGTTTTATTCAACAAATTTAGGAAAGATAAAAGTGAAGGTGTGTACTTGGAAATCACATTTCCAGACCAATGGAACCTGACCAAATCTAATACCCATAGCCATCCAGTGACCGACCACCAACCTACGACAAGACCTCCCACTGCCCGGAGGACTCCAACCGAAGCTAAGGTCACTCATGCTACCACCACTCCCAGCCTTACCGTATGGTTTGCTAGAAATGTGACTGCAAAGTAATGGTACAACACTGCCTAAAGAATGCAAGGGCCGATGCCATGGCTTGGGGAGCTGTTCCTTTTCCAATTCTTCTTCATTCTGTCCATTGTTTGTCATTTTCTTCTCTCTCTTCATTTGGGCCTTTCAATATCTAGTTGGGAGTTCACGCAGAAAAACTCCCCAATTGCTGTGCTACAGGCATCGGCAAACTGTCCTGCAATGGAGACTAATCCATCCTTCGCTTCAAGGACAGAGGAACGCAGCCATGCCCTCACTGAGTTATCGGAGTCTTCGTCTTCAGGAAAATTGCATTGATTTTGTTGTGCACTGTGCTCAGGCATTGCAATTTGGACATGGTTTGGGACGGCCATTAAGAAGAGACTAATTAGCAGCTAGCTAGGATGCTATTAGTAATGATAATTTCCCAGTTGAAGGCATAATGCTGCATGAATGAGTTACTTGTCTATATACTCAAGGATACATAAATATTAATGGGAATATGTGCAGGATTAAGTCGGGGCAGACAAAGGAAATAAAATAGTGCAGCATCGAGCACAAGCATTGGTAGACCAAGGATTTGTTTGATAGGGCTTTTGCTTTTGTTTCTGTTTCTTGTAAAAGAGCTTTACGAGAAAGTTATCAAAATGTCTTTAGTTAAACAATACACTTTTAGAAAATTATCCAAGTACGTATTAAAGTAGCTTTTTAGTCTCAAAAATAGTTTTTGACTTTTCAAAAGCCTAGTCAAACGGGACCTAACACGATTAGTTGATCAGCATTTGACACCAGAGCAGCAATAATGCTGGAGTACTTTGTTGCTTTGATACTAAGTTGCACGAAAATGGAAGCTGAGTATTCTTTTAACCCTGTGAAGTAAATTTCTGAACGGAATTTCCATTAATACGTGAGAATTGAGATAATAAGTTTGAAGTCTTTTCCATAACTACCTACCTCCTTTCAGTACACACAATTTTTATCTTTTAAAACAGCTATGAGGCGTTGGGTACATTCCACTAACCAAGTTTAGAGAGAATCACAATTCTTATCATGAATCATCATGAATCCCTCTTTATTTCCCTAGGTGGGATTTGTCAAAGTAGCCTCCTGAAAATGTATTGCTGTTTAGGATAGCAAATGTGGGGGGAGTGTGTTCTCCACACAAAAGTGGGAAGATTTTCCTTTAAATTGCTAGAGGGAGTGTGCATTCCACACAATGACAGTAGTTTGCTTTATGTTGAAGCTTTTCAACTCCACTCGATAATATAACTATTTTTCTTGGCGCTCTCCTACCATTTTGGCCATGAGAATTTTGATGAAATACGCAATCTTTGTCATATCCCAAAATAATGACATGACAA